AGGAGGAGCAGGAGGAGGAGCAGGAGGAGGAGCAGGAGGAGGACGACGAGGAGGACCTCTCAGTGAGGGTGGAATGGTTTCCGATGGTTCTCCCCACATCCACAGGCACTCGCGAGCAATCACTGTAACTGAGGCAGCAGTCAAAGATCAAACCCCTGCTGCTGCTGCTGCTGCTGCTGCTGCTGCTGCTGCTGCTGCTGCTGCTGCTGCTTCTGCTTCTGCTGCTGCTGCTGCTTCTGCTGCTGCTGCTGCTGCTGCTGACTGCTACCACCCTTACTCCTGTTCCCTCACCTTTGTAGCCCTCTTTCTCCAAGGCAGCAGCAATCTTTGCAGCAGTGTCAGCAGAACTTCCTCCTCCTCCTCCTCCTCCTCCTCCTCCTCCTCCTCCCTCGACCCCCCCCGTCCTCCTCCGGCTCACTTGTCGCGCTCGTTCGGCATCGCCGTTCATGTCAGCCATGGGCAGCCACTCGTACACCACAATCGCATGTTCACCTCCTCCTATTGACTCAATCAACGCGCCCTCATCCGCTGCTCTACTTGTCTTCACCATCCTCCTCCTCCTCCTCCTCTGATTCACAAATTTAGCTCAAGCAACTCCTCAAGGACGCCAGGGTCTGCAGGAAGGGAGGTTGTCATGGGGGAGCGAGGACGAGAGCAGAGCAGACTCTGTTGCCAACTTGAGCTGACCCTCCGGCCTTGACCTGAGCAGCCACTCGTTCAGTCCTACGTCCTAATCTCATCCAGCAGGAGCTCTCTGCACATCTCACATAGACTGAGAGGAGAACAGGGTAGGATGAGCCGGAGACTTCTTGAGGGTCGAAGGAGCTCCTACACAAGGTGACGCTGCTATGCTGGCACGTTGGATAGACGAGAGATGAGTTGCACGCGATGAGGGCTGGGCTGCAACAGCGATGGAGAATGTCGTCACGATCATACGTGATCGCAATCATCATCATCATCAGAATCGGCTCATCATCCTCATCATCTCCATCATCATCATCATCATCACTATGCCTGGCAGTCATCATCGTTATCACCGTCATCGTCATCGTCATCGTCGTCGTCATAATCTCTATCATCGTCACCACTACCACCACCACCACCACCTTTGCCATCATCATCATCATCATTACCATCATCATCATCATCATCATCATCCTCATCATCATCATCATCATCATCTTCTTCTTCTTCTTCTTCTTCATCATCATCATCATCATCATCTCCATCATCATCATCTCCATCATCATCAGACATGATATTCAAAGTTGCTCATCAGCGTGTTACAGTGGGACTTTGACTGGGGAATCATCGCCGTCTACGTTTGCTCAAAGCACTGTAAAGTTCTATCAGAGGAGGGATCGGGATATTCAGGTGGCTGAAAGTGTTGAGCTCTACCTTCCTTTCCTCGTTTTTCTCACTCCTTTCTAGTACCCTCCCTTCCTCCCTCCCTCCCTCCCTTCCTCCCTGCCTCCCTCCCTGCCTCCCTTCCTCCCTCCCTCCCTGCCT